CAAACGTATCAATTCACAGTACCTATCATTACATTCGTGATTATGTTGGCTTATGAATAGTGTTTAACATTCATATATCAGTTTTGTTAAACAAGTGACGAGAAAGTGCCACCTTGAATAGCGTAAATAAGGTTGCATTCTAACCTGCGCGGTTACAAAAGTTATCGTAATATATGCTAAATCTTCTGAACATAAATTTCTAGTAAAATGTGGAATTTCTGGGCTTTTTCGGAAAATGGTACTTTACAATTATAGGGCTACTTTAAAAATGGTTGCCCTACAGTTAGACAAATATTCGAATAGTGATTCATGCTCATTTCGGTCTCATTGCTAGACGGTTAAATTTCTATTCGGTTCTAAAATTCGTTATTCGCACATCCCTACTTGGAATGCTTGTTTTGGTATACGGCTCGCTGCAGTGCCTGCAAAAGTGGTTTATCGTGAAAAGATGCGTGTCCTCTGAAAAGTTTGCCCAATGTTGAACACATTCCTATACGGTTGTAACTATATTAAATTCGTCTCACAAAAAATATAGATTTCCTGAAGTCAACTGCTTTTACGTTGACCTTCATCATTCGCCAACTCTAGTGCAGGGTAGCATACCAGATACCACCTTCTGATTAACCTTCCTGCCTTCCTCTTCTCTATTTATCTCTCTTGCTGTGAAATGGTCGAATCAAGTATAACTTCTTTACGGCAGAGGGCGGCAAACTTCAGCTTGAGTTGAATAAACTCATCTTACTGAAATGATCTCAATCATTAGAGAAGAAGTTTACCCGACACACCAGATCATATTTGTGTCACAGATGTTGCGGAAAAATACCAGATGCCGCAACAATGTGAGTGAAGCTCGGATGCAGCAGTGAGACAGATGGCACAAACCTCGTCAGTTCTGTGCTTTGCATAGGTGTGCGCAAGGTTAACCTTCAGGGGGCGAAGGTCTGTCGTAGCACCCACCTCCTTCACGTATTCGAATGACTCTGCACCCCCTTTTAGGTGATGAGGGGGGGGGGGGGGCACTGCGCCTCCTCTACCCATGCGCACGCATATATGGTGCTGTGGCTTGTTCCTCGAAGAACGCTCCATGCAAGTTCAAAAAGAAACAAAGCATTTATTCGTTTGCCAAGGCGCATTCGTACAGTTGAGCCTCGTTATAACGAACGCTTGCTTATATAGCGAATTATCGGTTTCGGCGAACCTAACGCAAAGTTCGGTTGGTCGCGCTATACTTCAGTGAGAATGATTAATTTTATAATGAAACCAATAACGCGGTTGCCGTCGAGATATCAAGTGTGACGAAGAAATATCATGTTCGTGCGAGGCTCTGTACTCGAAATGTAGCACAAGCAAAATAAATACTGAAGGCAATTGACAACCATATTTCAGTCTTGATGCGGATGTGGCACTATAGGTACTTCGTTGAAAATTCTTCAAACAATTGTGAACGCAGGCCTGTCTTGTTGAACGTTGTTCTGTTGCAAGTTCACTTTCTCAAGTACAGGTTTGTTTAGTTTTAAATGCCGCAAGATCACAGACCAGAATTACCTCGTTTATGGGGTGTTTGAAGCCTAGAATAAGTTGTTGATTTGCGCGATCCAGATTGCAGATTTGAACAGATCATTTTTTGTGTCTGCTGTTATAACTAATACGGCGAATAAGATAAGACGAACTAATTTACGATCCAGATGTTGCTTCGTTATAGCGAGATTCCATTTCGTATAGATCTCCTAGCTATAGAAGACGTCATTAAAAAAAAAAAACTCCCAAGCATTTCCCCGAGGGTGAACATGGTTAAGTGCGAATACACGGGGTGATGCTATGAGGGGTATTTATTAATTCGCACTATTCTATTTATTAATCACACTATGGTGCCTTTATGGTGTAATGGTTCCTGGGAATCGCAATTTGATCACATGGGGGAGTTTACGTTAACTCACTGGCGAATGCCAACGGATTTTAACTTTACTCCCCCTCACGACCCGCTCTCGACGGGAGACTGAGGGAGAAGGCGGGCGCGCGAGAGAGAGGGGTGCGCGCGCAGCTGCAGCCAGCGAGGAGAGCGGAGGAGCGAGCGAAGGGGGAGGGGGTATAAGGCGCGTTACTGACACCGATATCAGCGTCGCGTCCGTGGCTTATTCGGTAGAGCGTCGTGCTGCGGCCCGCCAAGTCCTCTTTCTTTTAAAGATAGAGAGAAGACTGCGGACGCCGCCGACGGCGGTGGATGGTTTGGGGTCGCTTATAAAGTGTATTCACACTTAAAAAGAACGCCTCAATGTCACATCGCTGGAAACGCACTTCAAGTGTGCAAACTGGGAGGAGCCACGGCTTTCCTGTTCTGAGCTCTTTGATTATCTGTGCGACCACGTTCCACTGTTTTCGCTACATAGTGGTGCTGATGAAACATTCATTTGATCAGACAGAGGTGATCACCGAGACCCCAATGATTACCACGTGTAGCACGACGCCACTTCAGTATTAATAATAATGAAACGTCCAAGAACTTACTAGAGAAACAATAAATCTTGCTGGTGGTGCACTCAACTCGCCGTAGCCGCCATTTGCCTTAAGGTTGCTAGGAAATGGTTAACCAAAAATTTTGATAACGTTCACGGAACAACGGGCACCAGTGAATAAAATTCAAAATGCTCATATACGTGAGACGCCCGCGCGATCACTAGATTAAGGCTTTATTCGGGTATGCCCCATTTACACTCGCACACCAAAGTAAGGATGTACGGGTTGCGTCACTCATACTCTATGCGTCACCTTCAGGCATGGTCTACCTGAGGAGCTTGCTTTAGGCTATGGTGAAGGCATCCTGGTGAAAGCACCCGGTGAAAGTTCAACCCCTTGATCAACGCTCACCTCTCTTGATCTGGTGGCTGCGTTCATACGTCAATCAAAAAAGCAAAGGCGCAACATCAATACGTAAGTGTTAAGCGGTGCGTATTTTTATTTAGACAATGCACATATGCATAATTCTAAAGACCAAAGTGTTTATTACGTTGTGCTAACAATACAACACTACGAACGAACAAGGGGTGTGTTATTCCTGCGCTTTGCTAAAAAAAAATTCGGGGCTTTAACTATTGTGCACGGTATCCTTCCCGATCTTCAGGCACAGCGCTTCAGGCACAGGCAGAGTAGAAATCAGGTGAAAAACTACGCGATGGCACGCCACGATAGTATGCGTTGACCCCAAAGCGGTACCAGAAGCCAGCTTCCCTCTAGTCTGCCTAGGGTTAGTGCTGCTAGATACTGTATACAATATATACAGTAACTCTACCCCGCACAGTGATGCAGCGCCGCCCGCGGCATTCGCTCGCACCGCACAAAGCTCTCCCATAAAGTTACGCAGAAGCTTCATGAACAGTAAATGTATTGAAGGACTCTGGTTACAGCTATCATTTTCCTTTAAATCGCTCACTGCGTTATCCTTAATTTAAGCTGAAGCCTCTTTGTAAGTCTCCAGGTTCCGGCTCCGTATGTAAGTACAGGCAAGATTCAGCTGTTTTTCTTGAGGGATAGTGGCAATCTACCAGTCATGATTTGAGAGTGCTTGCCGAATGGGCTCCACCCTATTCGAATTCTTTTAGTTACTTCAATTTTGTGGTTCGGCTCCGCGGTCCTAAGTAGACGTAGTCTTTTACAAATTTCAAGTGCACTATTACCTATCTGGAAGCGCTCTTCTCTTCCGAGGTTGCCGTACATTTCGTTTTCTGCAGATAGATTTTAAGACCTACCTTTCTGCTCTGCTTGTTTAATTCAGCAATCACGAGATGCAATTCGTCCCCCGAGTTACTCAGCAATGCAATGTCATCGGCGAAGCTCAGGTTACTAAGGTACTTTCCATTAACTTTTATCCCTCACTTTTCTCATTCTAGGCCTCTGAAAACCTTCTGTAAGCACGTGGTAAATAGCATTGGGCAGATTGTATCCCCTTGATTTACACCATTTTTTATTGGTATTCTGTCGTTTTCTTTATGGAGCACTACGGTGGCAGTTGGTCCTCTGTAGATTTCTTCCAGGATGTTTATATACACTTTGTCGACGCCCCGATTCCGCAGTGTCTGCATGAATGCTTGATGTTTCTACTGAATCAACTGCCTTCTCGTAATCTATGAAGGCTATTTATAGTGGTTGGCTGTATTCCGAGTGTTTCGCTATTATCTGATTGATAGTATGAATGTATGATTGATTGATATGTATGTATGATATGTATGATTGTATGATATGTATGATTGATATGTATTAAGTATGATTGATGGTATGAATGATAGTAAGATTGTCGAGTAGCCTGTTCGAAATCCTGCTTGTTTCTTTGGTTGATTTATATCTAATGTTGTTTTGATTTTGATATAAAGTACCTTTGTAAATAGCCTTTATACTACGGAGAGCAAGCTGATCGGCCTGCAATTCTTCAAGTCCTTGTCATCTTTTTTCTAATGGATTATGATGATGTTAGCATACTTCGAAGATTCTGGCACTCTCCCCGTCGGGAGACACTTTGTAAACAGGGTGGCTAGTTTTTCTAACACAATCTGTCTGTCTGCCGTCTTTCAGCAGCTTCGATGTTACCCGATCCTCACCAGCAGCTTTGCCTCTTTGCATTCCCTCCAAGGCTGTTCTCACTGCAGTCATTACTCGTGGGATGTCATCTGGGTTACTACGAGTCCTTATATTATGGTCCAAGTTGTCCCGGCTACTGTACAGATTCTGTAAAACTCCTCTGCTATTTTAACTATTCTATCCGTATTGGTAGTTACTTTGCCTTCCTTGTCCTTTAGTGCATACATCTGGACTTTGCCTATCACAAGTTTCTTCTTCACCGCTTTGACACTTCCTTCGTTCTTTAAAGCGTGTTCAATTTTATCCATGATATACCTGCTTGCTTTATCTTTACCTCGGTGCATTTTACTGCATGAAGTTCATTACTTCATAAGTTTTGAAATTCTGAGGAATATTATAGCTAGTAAAAAAGAGAAAAGCAAGAATCAGTGCACGTAGTACAAATGAAGACTTTATATGCCAAGAAAACGGTTACAATTCCTTACTGGTAAGTAAGGGAAGGGACGAGTTACCATTTAAGCAACACTTAAAAAAAGTTTCCTTTTGAACGGTCCCGTGCAAAGTAATTTGATTGAACAAATGCATTTATTTGTATACGTGCACCTCATGACCACAAGTTTTCAAAGCACAAACCCTGCAATTTCACTGCACACTATGCATGCATCCTATTATGCTTTTTATCATACAAAGCACAAAACATTATGAAGGTTCTGCCAAAGTGCAGCTTGTCATGTACATGAACTAGATGTAGGCATCCGTAATACATAATTTTTTATTGCCGAGTATAGCGTATTAACCTGTACCTAACAATCATGTCAGTTTTCAACCACAAGTACGGAGCCAAGTTTAACTGAGTGAACTGTATACCTGCATTTGATGCATACCACACACTTCAATCAGCAGTGTTTCTTTTTGGAATCGGCCATTACAGCATTCTTCTACTACAGATGAAAGTATAACAGTTCGGGGCTTAACGAGGCCATCACACCTAATTTTCTATCACAATCTGTGTTATGTGGGTTGATCCTCATGCATTACCAAAAATAGGCAGGCAAAATTTCAGCGCGTTTGGTCAAGTGCTTAATTTATGATTGAATATTCTAATAAACATGCGAGCACCCTGAGAGTCGGGCAACACTAGCGCACTCTCAAGTAGTGACATAATAAGCAGCTAGCTGTGGAAGCATCTGCATTCCAGCGAACGATATTTTTCTGTGGTCAGCTGTGCATGAAATGGAGATATTTTAGCTTTCCTCAGCTATGCACAGCTAGGCAATTTAACAATTTGCAATGCCTGAAACTTAGAATATATGGCTCCACTCTTTGCTGCATGTGATGTCGCACGTGCCATGGCAAAATCCTGGTCGGTAGTGGTGGGCAGCCGTGTATAGCCAGCTACTTCCAAGACTTGTAATACGCCGAAATGTTTCTTATGGCCCACTTTTCAGATATCTGATGGCACAACAGACCCTCTACCGCTAGCTCTCTCTGGGAACAACGAATCGTTCAGTGATCCTGCCATGACCCCCTTTAAATACCGACATATTAAAACACTTTTCAAAATGTCTGAAGGCTGATGCACCAATAGTTTCAACTAGCTTGTAGCTTCATTAAGGCACAATGTGATAACGGCAAGGCACTGACTGTTGCAACAGTTTTAACAAAATAAAATATACCTCAAAGGAGTTTCATTCTGAGTATCGAGTAAGGCACTCTGGTGTCCAAAATCTGCATCAAATTTCACACCTAAACAACGCATGACTCTAGCTACTGTTATCAATTCGTTCAGTAACAACAGGAGCTAGTCTCTCCTACAGACAGCTATGCCGCCCTTCTGGTAAGTGAAGCAACATAAAACAAACAACAGGTGTACAATTCTCTAGCAAACAAAGAAAAAAACTGCACACGCAGAGACAAGAGGATCCCAACACCAATATTGCACACTAAGATTTTTGAAATGCTATGAGACACAAAAGCATGCTCAACTTCACACAACCACATGTACACACACGGCACATTACATATTGCATTTCTCAAGTCACACTATAGGCAACTTGAACCACCGGTATAAAAAAAGAGACCAGAGCTGGTATCTTATAGTATAGACCACACAATACGTGGTAACCACTTCCACAAGCAAAAATAATTTTGTTCTACACAGTATGCCAAACCACAATCACAAAAAAACACAATTAACACATTGCAAAAAGTGGTGAAATTATAATGAATCCCTGACAATCTGTCAGCTTCAGGAATCTCTGGAGCTTCTAAAAAATTTTATGGTATTTGTGATGGTTGGCAATCACAAGTAGCATCTGAATAGGAATGTTCAACTTTTGTTTTATAAAGCACACTGGTTGTCAAAAAAAGAAAAGAGAAAAAAAATCTGGACAACTATGATATGTTCATTATAACAAAACAAACATATGGTATGATATGTTGAATAAAGCAAATGGTGTGAACCTAATCATATGAGTGCTTTCAGCTATTAAAAGCTAATCAGAATAATTACCAAATTTCGTTATAATATTGTTCACAATAATAGGAAACAAGTGTTTGAGTGCTTCCCTATTCAAGACTTTCAGACTGTAAATCCCAACAAAAGAAACAATACTCTAAAGTCATTGCATTCCAGATAATTGATATTTATGATTTAAAAAAGAAAAAAAAACAATGTGACCATAAGTTACCTCGGTCTAACTCACGCTTCAGGACCACCTGTCCTTCGCAAATCCACACACGATTGCAATTATAGGGCTATACTATGAGAGTTATTTCAGGCTTTCAAAGAGACTATTGTTATGCAGTCACCGACTCTAAGCATAGTAAAACAGAAATTGCGGCAACACAATTGTTGGTGATAGTGGAGCAGCAACTTGCACACGTGATCAAAATCATGTGGTACCTACACTATGCAGCAACATGCTCATACTGTGTTATAAAAAAAAAGACAAAGCCTTTTGTCTTGCCAACATAAGGACGAAAAATGTATATATAATGCATAGCTCAAGAGGAGTAAATACTATACAGAGACCTGCGGCCATGAGCAGAGAAACAGTGTACTCCGAGATTCGCCCCAAATGTGGGGTGAACAAATTCAGTTTACCTGCAATGCGACAAGGCACTTTGGTGATGTAGACTATAGATCAATGAAGGGTCACAATAGTTAACATAGAGACCAACGGTGCTCGGTCACTATTATTATGCCGTTAACATGGTGCCAGATCGAAGGCCCAGTTTATGCCACGATATGAGTAGGATGAGAGTAGAAAGGAGTCGGGTGAATCTTGTATAAACATGCAATAAAAATAGAAATTATGCTTTGTTTTCAGAAATGATTAAGGCACACACTTGATAGAAAAGAGACGTCCAAGAGTTGTTGCGAGACAGTGCTCATTAGTTGGAAGTTACAACAGGCGATGTTCCTTTGATAAATGCTGGTCTCCAAGACATGGAGCATCATTCGTAGGAACAGCCACGGCCCAAAACCCCCGCGGGAAGCATCTCACAGTCACAATCACTCAACACAACAAAGGCTATGCACGCATTTAGTTTTTTTCACCGGTTGATCCCTGTTCTCAGACTTGTGTTTCGCACCAGTCCATCCATCAAGCACAAGCCAACAAACAGAAACCTCATTTCTCTATAAAATACAGCTCTTGGAGAGCGGCGGCACAGTGCCCCCAATGCCGTGGTGGCAATTCAAACCACACATAATGCAACAAGGGTAAACAAATGCAATGTGTCACAACCACTTCTCATCCTTGAGGTGGCGGTGCTCCACAGTGATCAACCGGCAAGCGTTGTCAGATGTGCGGGTGAGCAATCAGGTGGCTGGCAAAGTCGTACCTATGCTTGCACTGGTGACCACAGAGGTTGCACCTCCACGGCTTGCGGAAGGAGTGAGCACCACGGTGCAGAAGGTATAGGGTGCGGTCGTAGAAGACAACATCGCAATACTGGCACGCCAGGGGGCTTGGGTAGCGCATGTCAACGCCACTGTCGCCGTCAGCAGTGGAAGTTTCGGGTGTGCTACGCATCTGCTTCTCGTCAGCTTTGTCCGCGGTGGAAGTAGAGCCGAACGCCGCTGTTGGCGGAGGCGAGATGACTATGCCGAGGTCGTGGTTCCCATGCACAGCTGTCGCGCTCCACTGATTACTGGTCCCCAAGGAGCAATGCTCCTGTGACGACGATGATGAAGGCATGGTCCAGTTCCCAGTGTCGGAAGTAATGAAGCCATGGTCTTCGGCTGTGGACTGGTTGTCATGAGGCGAATCCCTGCTCTCATCGGCCCCAGCCCCCCTCGTGCCAGTGCCAGCCGAGGCGTTGTTGTTGCTGACGTTTGTATTGTTGTTGCTGTCGCCAGTGTCGGCTGTAAGCGTGTCGGTGATGCTTTCGTGCATTTCCGATTTGACCACGATCATATCGTCGTCCTCCTCTTCACCAGCCTTGTCGGCAGAGTCACGCTGAGACGTTACGCTCGTGATTCGAGGAGATATTTCTGAGTAGTCCCCTTCGATGTGGTGAACCTCTATGGCACCCACACCGTCTTCGGAGGACTCGCGGTACACGTCCATTGTCCCCATAGTAGATGGCCCTAAGGTGCAGACCTCACCGTGTGCCCCCTGGTATGGTGAAGAGAGCAAGGAAGCTAGGCCTGATGAATTCTCTGTTGGGGACGACGAACGCAAGGCTCTACGAACGTGGTAAGTCATGTAATGAATTTTCGCTCCGCCTGCCGAGGTGGCAACGAAGCCGCATATGTTGCAAATGTTGCTGCGTGGAGTGTAGCCCGATGAGTGAGCGTTGGAGAGGTGACATTTGAGCATGGGCACAGAAGGAAATGTCTTTGCACAGAAGGGGCAGCGCAGTGGCCTCTGCTTCGAGTGCTTACGGACCGTGTGTTCTACAAGATGGTCCTTGCGGAAGAAACGCCGGAGGCATAGGCGGCATTCAAAAGGGCGGATGCCCGAGTGGCTGAGCTTGTGCCGTCGCATGTTGGCGAACTGCGTGAAACGCATGAAGCAAACATCGCACTCGTATGAGCGGTTGTCTCGTGCGGGTGTGTCATCGCCAGACTTGCTTGCCGTGGTAGTCGTATTGTTGTTGTTCATTTCTCGTACAGCCGCGGCCCTGGTTTCCGCCCTGGGCGTCGACACGTCCCCCTCCAAATCCATTCTATGTGACTCTACAGGGTGGCTGTGCTACCTGAAAACCTAGAAAATGATGCAGCTTGTTAGAACGTGACAGCGAAAATGTGTAGCGGCAATCACTTTACTTCAACTGTGACCATACATCTAATTCAATAACAAGCCTCAAGAGAGGACACTTCCGATAAAGAGTTGTACGATTTTGCATGCCAAAACCACAGGTTCATTACGAAGCACACCATGATTCAAGATTAATACGTGCTGGCCGGCCATTAGTGCACTTAATTCTAGTACATAGGTGCCTTTGCCCTTCTTACCATGGAAATGCAGTAACCAAGGCCAGAAACATGCCATCCTGTAAGGCAGCACTACGCTGTAGCTACTAGGCTTCTGGGTCTAAAGTGGCACAGTGAAATACAAACACAATGGTATTTGACCCTCCAAAAACAACACAAAGTGGTTTCCATTCCTTTGCACAATGTCATGCCAGGAAATAACCACTTAATGTCCTCAACTTCCTGTGATCCTCAAAGATCAAGGATTCTTTCAGTGCTTTACAACTTGTTCTCTGATAGAATGCAGGTATCATAACAAATTAGAATAACAGCAATGCTCACTTGAACTATACATCTGTACAAGCAGTCGCTGCCCCAAAGAGACAACATAAAACAATGGCAGAGCAACATCTCTCGTTCTACCACAGCTAATCGCCCAAGGCTCTAGCTTCCATCAACCACTCTAAGGTAGCACACAAGTAGACAAACATGCGTGCGTGCCAGCAGCAGTATGTACCTCCACTTAACGCATTATAGTGGTGCTCCAGCCAGTTGGTGATTTGAAGCAATTTTCGGAGCATGAAAAAGTCTGCTTTGGAGCAGTAGGAACTGTGTTCTAGAGCCCGTTTGGAGCAGACAAAACGCGATTTGGGATCACTTGGAGCGAAACATGTCTAAATTCCCTATAGATATTCTTATTTGTCTGCATACAGGAAGTGCTGTGGCGATGTAAATAAACAAGAAGAAAAAGCCAACAAAACATTCAGAGAGCAGCCATCGATCAAGGTCTTAGCACAAAAGAGTGTCATATCCTCGCTTCACTGCACTGCAAAAAGATGAGAGTTGAAGGGAAGCTTTAGTGAAAAGGCAAGCATGACATGGTTTCTGTGACAGGCATCACAAAGTCACACACACACGCACACACAAAAAATCCTGAGCAGAAAACCAGTAGTCTCCAGTAGTCTAACAAATGAACACAAAAAAAAAGCTTGCTGCAGCCGAGAGCATACTCCAGGAAACTGTCTACGTAGAAAGTTATTCAATAATTGGCAGAACTCACTACAAACGATGATTCTTCATGGTCAATAATTATTAGAGGCAGGAGCACCGAATGCCATTGTCTTTTCATATTTTAGGACCTTAATTAGGCATTTAGTTACATTTTTCCAAATATTCTGAAAAAGTCTCCTAAAAGAAAAATCTGGGCGGGATCACTGATCAACCCAAGCATAAAGGTGGGAGGGTGCTTTTTTCAAGGCAGCCTTAAAGAAGAGAATTCTACTAGGCAACACGTTTGCTTTAGCTACACCCCGTGTTCACAGCTTTTTTTTTTTTTTTACCTTAATGTGCTGTCCAGGTGCAACTGGTGGGTATGGACCCCCATGCAACTCCCACTGTTTGAGCAGAACTATGACGTCCCGTGAGCATACAGGCCTGATGACCAAGGACAACTGACTTTCCACAGTTGACAGGGGTCCCATGACCGAATCCAGCATGACCGTTTTAGGGTGTTGACCAAGTACTGAGCACTGATGCCACTACATCTGGTTTGTAGTTTGCAGTCGAAGCAAGCCATCACAAGACCCAGCTAGGTATAACTCCGTGAACCGTGAGAAATCCCCGCTACGGTGCCGCTCTGCTCTCGTCAATGTGCAATTTACGAAAAAACGGGGGCCACGCAGTGCATGCTCGCAAGCATAGTTTTCAAGAAGTGAGAGGAAATCATTTGAAAAGTTTGCTAGCAGGGCGGCTTTTTTGGCTTTCTTTTGTTGTTTAATGGCAACACTGCTTGTTCTAGCAGTGTTTAGGACGCGTGACAGCAATTGTTCTTTATTTTGTAGTTCACATTGCAACTCAATTTCCCGAAGCCGTGCGCGGGAAGCTGTAGCACCACAACATGCCAGACGTGCTCTATGTGGGCATTTAGCCTCGACTTTACAATTGGCATATCAGAAATGCTGCATAGCACAATAAAGAGGCATTAACTTTTTCCCTGAAATATCAAACTTCTGTACAGCAAAATATTCATTTGCATGAGGAAGCTATCTATTTACAGCGCACAGTGCCGATAGAGCTGCCTGGCCGCGGCCGCTATACTAAGAAGGTACACAGAGTGACTCCCGAGCGAAAAAAAAAAAAAAAAACATTTTTCTACTTGCTCCCAAACAAATAAAAGAGGCTATCGATGGCATGCTAAACCTTCAACAACAGAGACGCGAGGCGGAGCAGACACCTCGGTTAAGCCGAACATTATGAAAAAGCCACATCACTAGAATAGATCCTGTAAAGGGCATCGGCGGCATTATCGAAAAGCCCTAAATAGTGTTGGGCCATAAATGATCCGATGTCCTGTAAACAAGTGAATTAGTGGGCTCTGGTGCGGTTGGCGCAAGCCATACCCATATCTTTACAGCAAGGTGCAGAGAAATGAAATTGTAGCAAATTGGTGCCGTTGGACCATCACTGCCATTAAGCAAGCAGCCCTGAAGCTTCCCGAGTGAAATACCCCAAGGGTGCTTAGCCTACAGAAGTGAAGAAAGATGTGGCATCTGTAACTTTTTGGTTTATAAGGTTTTGAAATTTTATTAGCAGCAGGTAGTTGGCTTTCTAAGTGTTGTTCAGAAATAAAGCTTAGTCCATTGATATGACCAATTATGCAGGGAAAATATTTTTTCAACATTGACTAGCCACTTGTAAGTACAATCAGATTTGAAATCAGCAATGAAAGAAATAGGCACTTGACAGGAAATTTTTTAAATATCAGCAGTTATGGGATTAAAAGGACAATAAAGAAAAACAATGGCTTGGTTTAAATTGATAAACTGCACTCTGAGAATTCTAATGCCATAAGTTTCACTATCATCAGTTCATCAGTGGAGAAAAATCAAGATTAAAATTTCATTTTTCAATTCTGCACCAAAATGTCCATATGTGGTATCACTAATTTCGAAATGTATCTTCCATATTTTTTCAACATTGTCTCGATGAAATTTTCGTATGTTAGGTCTATGGCACCAATAGATGACAATGTACTTCATTTTTGTCAATTGTAAGCTACGTAGGACCCAGTAGACACCTTGAAAATTTATAGAATCACGGCATTCGGTGCGGGAAACTCAAGGTGGAATCTCCGCCTGAATTTTATTTTGACGAGTTTCTCACTTGTCAAAGGTGTCATCTTATGGTAAGAATAGTGTTTTCAAGATTGTGAAATTGCTCATTACTGCTACACGAATTCTCGTTAGTGCACCTTTAACACATTACTGTTAACAGGCATAATGTTATGGTAGGGCTACTCAAAACTGTAGAAATGTGCCCATAAAAAAAGGAAAAGAAAAGCTTATAATTAAGTTACACGGAGAGTGTAAAAGCCAAACACCAAGTGTCTATGACTGCCATTTTTGCTTCGTTTAGGGTTTTCATGTTTTCAGCCCTCCACGGGCAAACTATCTCCAAAGATGTTGTGTAGTGTGGCTTTTGAAATTATGGTTCCCATCACGCATGGGTTATAGGGGTAAGTGGCTAGATCACAAGAAAGCATAAATAAGACTTGGTGGTGACAGTGTCTGCCGCGGAGGACAGAGACCATAAAATGTCGAAACTCCAAGGAAAATGATGAGTCATACAATAAGAGGCACATGAACGTGTTTGTGTAAATTATGTAAAACAGCTGATGGCGCAATGGTCGTCTAGGGCAAGTCACTGTCATGGCAAAATTCGAAGCGAGTCGCTTTTGGACCAAGGCTTGATTTGGAGCAGGAAAGTACAGGCCTCACTACGCAATTGGAGGCCCTATAACGATGTGACTTAGCGTAACATTTTGGCAGCCATCACGAGCATTTTGTCAGAGTCAAGGCAGCAACTTTGTGCAATGCATTGTGGTTGCACTGAAGTAAAATCTTAAATGATGAGCATAAGAGTGTGACTTGCAGACCAGCGTTACACGTACTTTGCCCAGCTTCACCACTCTACCACAGCAGAGCATGCTAGAATGCAGACTGCATCGGTAACATCATGCATTCCTCATTACACGCCACCTACTCTCTGAAGGCACACAGCCGATAAAGTGGCCCTACTCTCACTTCGCTGCTAGCCATGCGCAAATGTAGCCGTGTGTTGCACAGGTAAGCACAAAGCCATAGGCAGCTACCGTATTTTTCGGTGTATAAGTCGCGGTTTTTTTCTGAATTTTTCGTGTGTGCGTCTTATACAACGATGCGACTTATATACATTCAAAATCGAGTTGGATGCCACGGCTTGGGTGGCGCTGTTTACGTCAAGCAGAGGTTATCTGATTGGTGGCTAAAGTCAAGGCACGAGTGAAAATTAAACCCTTCACTGTGAAGTACGAATCCTCAACTTCATTATTTAAAGAAAAAAAAAGAGATAAATGTAATGATTAGTTCACTAAGTATTACGGCTAGGTGGCGTTAGCCGCCGCCCAATCTAAAGGGTACAGCCACATCCATCCATCCCTCCATCAAAATGGCGTCTACGGCGCTTCACCGCTACCTTTTTCCTTCCTCCGCGGCCTTCTGCGATGCACAGAAACCACATTTAAAAAGAAAGTAAGATTAACGGTAAGTTAACACGCTAAAGGTAACGCAGCTATGTAGTTTTGCACAAAAAAATAATCAGAGGGGTGAAAATATGGAGGTATTTTTTAAATTATAAATTATGAAAAGCAAGTTTTGATTTCAGAGCCACTTCCTTTACCGTCACTTCCGTCCGCCATAACGTCTTCATTGCACTCGCTGTGTCGCTGTTGCTGCGCACGTCTCGTGTGTTGTG